GGAACGGGAGCTTGGAGTGAACGACGGGAGCGGGGACAGGATGAGTAACCGGTCACCTCCTCCTTCCTCCACAGAGCCGACGGGCAGACCTTGGCAGCCCCCCCAGGTACGGTCCCGCTCCTCTCCCCAGCACCGTGCTTCCTCACGCCGCGGGGGTCACTGCTGCGGGACGGAAAGGCTGAGACCTGAACGGACTGGGCAGGTTGTTGCCAAGGAAAAAATATCTGAGGGAAAAAAAAAAATCTAAAGTCTGTAGTGGTCACAGTGAATCCCATTCCTGTGCCTTTTACAACAGTCGTTTTTGCTGTGCAGTGATTTCAGTTAAAATAGCCTGAGGGGGTTAAGGAAATGATGGGTACGTTGTTGTAGTAGAAAAAGGAAGGATTACCAGATGGAGATTGGTATTTAACATTTTTTTTTTTAAGTTAAAAAGGTTATTTGTGGATAGAGTTCTTAATTGCCTTGATGCTTTATATATCATACTATGATTTCATAGCATCCCTAAAAAATTAGGTAACTTTTTTCAAATTCTGAACTAGAAAATCAAGAGTCTAGATGATTGATCACTGCTGTTTTCTAGCCCTCTTCATCTGTACTTCAAAGTACTTAAAAAAAAAAAAAGTTTGTGTGTTTTTTAAACAATTCTCTCATCTGTACCTCCCATAATGATATAGCCAGCTGGTGCAGCTCCTACTTTTTCTTTCTTTTATTATTTTTTAAAAAACAATAATCTGTTGGCACAAACAAGAGATGAGCTCAGGATGCTGCTTTTTATTCAGTCCCCGTGGTGAGGATGAAGCCGAGGCTGGGCTCCCCTCTGTGCGTTACTCGTAGCCGTTGTGTTACGTTGAATTTGTGTCCTGTGGTGAATCTGTGTTGTGGTGTTGATGCCCAGGAAGGGGAAAGCCAGCTAGCAGTGCTTCTGGTGCCTCCTCTGAGGCGCGCTTCTTCCTCTCCTGCCAACAGCCCTTCTCTGAGGGCAGTGCTTTCTAGCTCTTACTAGTCAGAGCTTCTGAAAAATGCCTCTTGGAGTTAACACAGAAGACGTCTTATTTTTCACAGCCTAATTGTTAATTCATTCCTGTTCCTCTTTCACTTACAGCTCTTGATTCATAATGTTTGAGATTTTTTTTTTCTCCATTTTATATTAAATTTACTTTAGATAAATGCCATGGAGGTGACGCTCCGAAGCAGAGGAAAGGCCAAGCCCAAAGGCGTGTGAAGAAAGACAAGCCAAGGAAGAGGGGTGCCAGGTAGGCTGGGAGAAGCAGCAGGGTGCTGGTCTGTTCTGCCTGCTTGGGGAGGGGACATGGCAGCAGCAGTTCTGTTCACTTGTTCCCCCTGCTCCTCCTCTGAGCAAAAGCACCTTTAATGTGCTTTTGATACAGCATACTTGTAAAATATATATAGATATATATACACACATATGTGTATATATATATATATATGTAAAAATGTAGAATGTAAATAGTTTTTATGTATTTTTTATATATATATAATTACTATGAGATAACAGGGTGGTCACCAGCACAGCAGTAGACATTCTGTTCTGTGCTGCTTCAGGTCTGGTTGTTGAGCACTGAATTCCTGCATTTCAGTGTTTTTTTTGTTGTTGTTGTTTCCCTTGTTTCTTTGTCACCGGTGTCCCTGAAGAAGAATTGCAGTATCTCCTGGTAGGAGTAGTTCGAGACTCCCAAGAAACTACTCAGGGCATGTAAAAGTTGTATGATGACAGGCTGAGAGGCTCAGTTCAGGTTTTTTTGGGTTTTTTTAATACTGCTACAAAGCTTGTCTGAGCAGCAGCCACCAGCCCTGGCCACTGCTGGGCATCAGCTTTGTGTCTGTAGTTCTGGGGTCCGTACCTGCGCTACAGGGATTGACGTCTCTTTATTTAACTAGGTCAAAAGGAAACTACACAGCTGTGTGCTTGAAAGAGCAGAGTTTATCAGGCCTCCACCAACAGCTTGCCAAGGACTTTTTAAACACCCACCTCTATGGACCAGACACCAACCGGGTGCAGGGTAAGCAGTTTTCCTCGGGTGGGCTGCATCTAGATTTGCCTGTGTTAAGCTTAGTAATTAACACTCTTTATCAATCAATCATCTCCATTTCAGCAAATGAATTTTTTTCCCTTGAAAATAAGAAAAACCCAATTAAAAAAGCTGCAGTTCAGTTTGTGGACAAATCTTGGGGTGAGTATAAAAATTCAAAAGTAGGTACTACTTTAAACCACATATGCATAAAGTACACTTATTTTTTTAAAAGAAAGAAAGAAAAAAAGCAGCTTTCCCATGCTAGAGGGCTGTAACCTGCTATCTCCTAACTCAGAGAACCCAGTAGTAAGGGAAGGGCAGCAGGGTGGAGAGGGAGCAGGGTGCAGGGTTTTTCAATACCCACCTCTGGGGATGGTATCGGGGAAAAAAAAAAATCATTTATGTTACATTAAGACACAGCATCTTGGCCTGGAGCCATGTTTACTTGTTGAAACAAATACTTTACTAATTATTGTTTCAGCCTAGAACCTCTGAGCTGTTGGAACTCATTCAAGCCGTGTTTAAAACTTAAAGCACAGGGCACTAGTGCCTATTTCTCATTAAAAAAATGACATGACAGAAGGGAACGGGGACAGACCCACGCACAGAAGTACAGCTGCACTCTGCCCCTCAGCCACACAAGCACAGTCTGTGAGGCTTATCAGCACCAGAGGGGAAAGTGCCTGCCCTCCTGCCAAAGGGGACGGGCAGAGGTGGTGGCCCTGGCCAGGGGAAGCCACCTGTGGTATGTGAAATAGGACAGGAAGTGTTGGCTTTCCAGTCCATTCTGTTCTGAAATGCTTCAGGAATGGCTGCATCGCTGCTTCTCCAGCAGATGGGCTGAGAAAACGGTAACTAACAGATATTTTTTTTTTTTTATTATTATTATTTTTTTAGGGCAAGAAAAAAAGCAAAGAGCAGCAAGGTTTAAAAAACGATGGCTCGCGACACAGATTAAAAACAGAGTATGAAAGATGTGATTAAGGACTTTACTCCAAGGTAGTCTCTCAACACAACAGAGGTGTTGTTTGCGTTTGTTGTTTTTTTTCCCCTTCTCCATCATCACTCTGGTTTCAGCTGTAGCCTCCAGCAGGCACCAACCTTGACAACTGACTGCCCTGTTCTCTTCCCTCCCCCTTTCAGAAGTGGTCAGGGAAGCCAAAACCAGTGACTGTGTCTCCTTGGAGCAACTGCTGTTACAATGAGGCCTGTAGAGCTGCCTCCATGAGGCAGCTCCTTCGCAGAGAATAAAGATGGAACAATTTTGTCTTGCGGTTCTGGATGCTGCATTTCTTACACCAAACAACTGTTCCCGCTGTGCCCGTTACCTGCATCACTGACAAAGGGCTAGATCCTAATACCAGGATTGTTGAGGCAGCTCACACAGCAGGACAGTTCTTGTCCAGCCTGGTCCTCTCAAAGAATGTTCTTTTTCCCCAGTTTCAGGGAGTATTACATAAATTTCCATCAGTGCCTTGCCTTTCCCCCGCAAGCTGGACTTGTTTTGTGGCCAGAACATAGTAAACCTCTGAACTTTAGGCAGCCCAGCAGCTACCTGCTGAATTCATGGGTCTAGGATAGAACTCTAGAACCAAGACAAAGTAGCATACGTAGTCCCTGCTACCATGTGTGTAGAAGTAAGTTTTTAATGGCTGGTTAATTATGATATCACTACATTTTATTGCAATATAGTACTATTTAAGCACTTTTAAAAATGCAAGGTGTACAAAGATTAAATTAAGACTGTAAATTGACTAAATATTTGGTTTTTATATAAATAGGTCATAACCACACTGTGTTGACATGTAATACTGTTATAATACAACAGTTAAACTGGTGAGTCTACACAACAGAAGCTGTAGTTAAACAAGGAAACAAAGTTGAAAAGACCATGTTAAAACAAAACAAAACAAAAAAACCCTACTAAGATCAACAGATTGGGATTGTAAGTAGCAACAAACATATTCACTCAGCTCCTGAGTAATTCAAGTTTTACAGTACACATTAAAAAATATCATTTCTTCCCATCAACACTATATATCCAAACCATCAGGTGTTTATGCATTTTGCAAATTACACTGATTGAACTATGTAACAATGGGGGTGGAGCTTGGCAAGTCATCCTGCTCGAGGTGTACATCGCCCACGCGCGCGGACAGCCGCGTTTATTCCTCCATCCCACCACAAGGTAGCAGGATTTTTGGTTTGTGTTGGACAATCGTTCAAAGGATCGGTACTGTCAGTTGGGATGTCTGACATTAGCAGTGATATTTTCAACTCTTAGTTGTCTAAGAGGTTTAAAGATGGAAGTTTTCTCCTAACACTAAGTTAGAAATCATTTGCATCATGCTGTAAACTAGGAAGCAACATAAAGCGACAGACTTGTCCTTAGTACATAATTAAAATTCCAAATTCCAGTCAGCAGAGCTGGTCTACGTCCCAGGTTGGATTCGCCGCAGCACCTTCCCGCTCTCCAAATGCATAGCTAGTGTAGGTAATCTTCCACTGTGGCGAAGGCGCAGGATCCGATTCCCGACCGAGCCATCAATCCTAGACACTGAGAGGCTTGTCCCATCGCTAGGGCAAGCGGCGGTTGCTTTGGCAGATTGTGAGTCTCTGAAGAAGAATCGACAGCAGCAGTTGCAACACCTGATTAACTTCACAGTAATGGACCGAGAAACTACCATTTTAAGCTTAAATCATTCATTTCAAAATCCCTCTATTTACCTGCAAAGTTTGCTCTTGCAGCAAGACAGAGCAGGAGCAAAGTGACATTTACAAATTCCCTGCATAGCACTGTTTAAATTGACCAGGCCTGGTTTTGCTTTCAACAACAACAACAAGATGACGACATCTGTGACATGAATACACCCCCAAAGCACCCCAAGAGTTACCGTGGCCTTGCTGCGCGTTGTTAACCCCTCGGCCAGCCCTGGCTGCGGGGCGCGCAGCAGCGGGCCGGGCCGTACTTACCCAGTATTGCACTATTGAGTACAGAGCACACGGGTTCTCTTTGTATCGGGTCAAGCTGATTTCCAACAGGGCTGCTCCAGGGATCTGAATATGCAAGTAAACTGAATGCATCCTGGGGAAAGATAATTTTTATTGCATCTCACAGCTGTATTCTGCTAGTGAAAGCTAGAAATATTTTCTTATTTTAACTCAGAACCATGGAGGTGATTGATTTCAGTGTCCTTCCATAAAAAAGGGGTTTTTTTTAAAAAAAAAAAAAGATTGTAAGGGAACTTTTTCCATTTTGAGCAAGCAGCATTTTTTTCCCAACTGGAAATGATACAGGAAGATGAAGTTGGCAGTATTTCAGTGAGTGGTGGGGAAAGAGAAAACAGACTGGAAGCGACATGCAGGGGAATTCTTTTCCAGAGCAGTCTCAAATCAAGGTAAACTAATTAACACACCGAGTTTAAAACCAGCACATTTTAGGCCTCTCTATCAATCCTCTTCCTTGGTGGTTTATTTATCATTAGAGCTGAAACCGGCACTTTGATTCCACGCTACACAGCCAGAAATGAGATGGAAGGAAGTGCTAATTCTGGTTTTAATTGTCTGACAGTATGAAATTATCTTCCCCGTGAATTACCACGCAGGACAGGAGGCAGCTCCACCACAGCTGACTGGAACAGCTCTCGGACTAAAACAAGTGGCAGAAGCTGAAGTGGAGCAACACTGCAACGCAGCGTGTTCCTGCCGGGCAGCACAGCTATTCCTCACCACCACCATCTCCAGAGAAAACATACCTTGAGCATTTTCTTATTCGCTGTGTTTTTGCCACATTCTCTTCTTAGTTGCTCGCTCATCGCTTGCAGTTCTCTTCCGAAATGGATCATTCTTTCGATCGCCGCTTGGCTGCCACCGCAGAGCTGACGTCTTAACTGACTGGAATCTACTTCTGCAAAAATGATATCGTCATCACCACCGACCGCTACTAGAGCTGACAGTCACAGTCTCTGGGTCTAGAGAATCCACTCATTTCACTCGGAAGACATCTGCCTTCTCAGAGAGAAAGCACCCAGGGCCAGAGGCTGTGGCAAAACGTGCTCCTATACCGAGCACTGCTGAACTGCTCCTTTCTCATTAAGAGGCTTAATTAACTAACGGCAAAGACTGCCTACACACGCTGTTTATTTTGCAGTAGCTGATTTTAAACTAACTAGACTATAAACCAAGTTTTACCCTAAAATTTCATGTGAATTTAAAATGAGTAATGACAAAAATAAAAGCCCCCACAGTTCCACCTTCGCAGTTCTTGGCCATTGCATTTCTGAAGACATCTAGAACCGCTAACAGAGGGTAAAACCCTGAACCTCCTCAGCAGCCACAGTGGGTGTTGCTACAAGACGATCATTTAGACCATTTGGACTCCTTGTAGAATGTATCAGCTTAATGATTTGGACAGTTCAGGTGTCTTTTCTAATCAAGCAGAACACTACAATCAATTTCTTCACTGTTTGCTATGGTATTCCCCAATATCAGTGATTTTAAAGGAGATTAATATAATTTATTAATAATAAATCAACCCTTGGCTTCTCTGAAAATTCTGCCTTTTTTAGATTTACAACTAAAGCAACTTGTTAAAAAAAAAACCAACCCAAACATTTATCCATTCCTTGCCTTTTTTCATCAATAGAATCAAGTTTTGAATCGGAATTTTGATGTACACTTTAATTACAAACCCATTCTTCTTTCTAATTTTAATATTGCTATCCAGTGACATATTTTGACCACTACCTTCAAACAAGGGTAAGTAAGTGGCCACTTTACTTTTTTTTTCCTTAGATGTGAGCATGTCACCTCTGGAAAAAATGTGCCTGCTTAACACTAAATACACAGCACTAAAGAGAATAAATAGTTCAAAAAGCAAAAAAAAAATAGCCCCACAAAAAAGCCACCAAACTCAAACTGGGGGGTGCAAAAAATGTAGGTTGAGGAGCCACATTTCTTTTTTACAAAGGTGAAGCACCCACAAGTCTTCAAGCAGCGGTGTTTTGTCGCTGGCTGCAGCCCAATCTAGGACATCACTTTCCAAAGGCAGAAAACAACTACATTTAAAAACCAAAAACCCAACAAACCACAAGCAGCTCTGCACCCTGCGCAGCCGCGTCACGGCTGGGAAAGGCTGCAAGAGAGG